AGAAAGCTGTGAAATCCCGGGGAAGCTTTTCCAGGACCTCTCTCTGCTTCCCAGAGCTCCTCCTATGGCTTCTGTGTTGGTTGATAGACAAGAAAATAGAGGTGTCTTGCTTCTGGGATTTCTCAGGTTCTGAAAGAGAGGCAGAAGACAAGGCCTGCCTGACCTCTAGCTCCTGGGGCTGCAGGAGAGCCTGGCGGTGTTCTCCCGCACCCCCTGTCCCCCCTCCCCCCTCCCCATATCGGGCACTGGCTGCCCTGTGGCTGCTGTGGGGTGGGAATGTGGGGAAAGCTGGACCAGTGCAGCCCCCCAGGAGCCCCCCCCCCATGACACTGACTGGGAAAATCCAGAGTCGTGGAGCAGCAGACACAGTTAATTCGTGAATGAAGATGATTTTTGGCAGCCGAGACCCCTGTAGTTTGGTGAGCTGAATACATATTTGTCTGAGCCTTGTCTGGTTTTCTCTTACCTCTTCATCTCCTCCCTTCCCTTACATTCATCTCTCTGAAAGTCTCCTGAACCTTGGATTTGACCTCAGGTGATGTCCAAATCATTTAAGAGATGTCACCCCTTGAATTCCTGTGCTTGCTCTTTTGAGGTCTCCTGTTAAGATTCTTCAGTGGCTTATAATTTGAAAAGCTTCCATTTCAGAAGCAGCAGCTTGGAAAAATGACTGATAAAGTATTATGAGTTTAGAAAACATTCTTATTCTATCCACACTTTCTGACTGTCCAGTGGTATGGCTGTTTCAGTGACTCTGTATGTGTGTGTGTGTGTGTGTGTGTGTGTGTGGTGTAAAGAATGGAGGAATGAATGGTTAAGAAACACAAAGGTATTTTAGAGAATATAAACTTCTCTAAGAATTCTTTGCTTGTTTGTTTGGGGTTTGTGTTTGAACAGCGTTGGAAAAGTTGTACTTAGTGTAACTATTAAGCCAGGCCTGGTGTTACACATCTACAATCCCAGTACTCAGGAGGCAGAGGTAGGAGTTCCAAGTGAACCTGAAGTATATAGTAAGACCCCACCTCGAAAAGCCCAGGGTTGGGGATGTTGCCCAGTGGTAGAGCACTTTGCCTAGCACAGGTAAAGCCCTGGGTTTGATCCCCTGAACTGAAGATAAATGTAGAGATTAGGTCATTCAGGAATGTTTGCAGTGTTCATCACTGCTTGATAGAAATAGTGTGTGATCTGACAACTTACTTAGCTTTAGGGTGCGGGCTTGGACTTTGCCAATAGATGGCTAACTTCTTTAGGCAGTTGAATCAACCTCTAATTCCTTCACAGAAAAAGAAAGGGAGTTGTGAGGTTAGAATGTAAGAATCCGGGTTCCCCAAACTCTTAATGGTTCCTCTCCGTGTGGATCTGGACGGAACACTGCCCTGCCTAGGATCTCTGTTGCTGGTTTCTGATTTGAGCTGGTGGAAGGATAACAGGATGGGGGCAGAGGGCAGGCCAGAGTTCCCCAGAAGTGGTCATCCCAGGACCTCAGTACATTGTGCCGGCTTGTTCGAGAAGCCCTGGGCTGGGTGTTTGGGGATTTGGGCTTCTTGTTTCTGGTCCCAGCACAAAGTGGCTGTGTGGTGTTGATTGAACCAATAACCTTTAGCATGTCTAATAGTCTCGGTAAAATGATGAGATTGGACATTTCCTTAGAACTCTAGTTCTCAGACTCTTGGTTTTATGTTCCTTGCTAGTTAACCCAATTTCATTAGTGAAGGACAGCCTTTTTTCTTTTCTTCTCCAGTTTATTTATTTATTTTTCAGGGTCTCACGTTTTTGTCCAGACCACCACAGTTCTCTCCCTCTGCCTCTTGGGTATCTGCAGTGACAGGTACATGCCACCATGCCTGGCTTATTGACTATAATGGGACCCCACTAACCTTGACCCTGGGCTAGCCTCAAACTTAAATCTTCCTGATTTCCATCTTCCTCATAGCTTGGGTTACAGGCATGAGCCACTGTATGTGGTCCTTAGGACCAAACTTACCTAGATACTCTAGTATGACAAAAATGTAATCTAAAAGTATTTAAGTTTGAAGTATATATTTTCCCATTTGTTCATTTAATGAATGCCAATAAAGACCAAAGAAAAGAGAATTAATTCTTACTGTAGTGATTTTTAAATCTTTAACTTCTTAAAAACTATTTATAGTAGATGCATCACGTGATTCTCTTGAAGGATAAGGTATTTAATCTGAAATCAGGAAAGGTGGTTTGCTAAAGAAACACAAAATTAGCCCTATTGTTGAAATTGATGTTGACTGCTTGGTGTTTGGTAAAAAGCATTCCTTCGAGAAGCCATCAGGGAGATGAAGAGTTCAGGTCACCACGGACTTCAGGAGAGATGAAAAATGTTCAAATCAACATGGCTAGAAGGAAATGTGGCAAATCACAAGGAACCAGACTGTTTTTAACAGAGAAAATTCAATTTTATCTGCCTTTTTTTTTCCCCCAGCAAATTCCATTTGATATTTTACATTTTCTTGATAACTTAATAAAGAATCTCAGGAAGGAGTTGCAGAACTTTAGCTTCATGAAAGAGAATTTGTCATTTGTGACATTTTGTCTCTAAATAGCATGGGGAGATCAATGTATTAGCTTAGAGTTCATGCATTGCTAGTTGTTAGCTAGTTTGGGTCTGAAAAGGGAACTGCCTGTGATGGGGACTGAACTTAGTACTGGTGAGAATTTTGCTTCATCCCTAAACATTCATTGAGCTCTGTGAGTGACCACACAGTGTGCCAGGCCCAGTGTGTGGGGTGTATGGTAATAATAAAACCCAATCCGGGCACTAGTGGCTCACGCCTGTCACCCTTGCTACTCAGGAGGCTGAGATCTGAGGATTGTGGTTCAAAGCCAGCCCTGTTAGGAAAGCCTGGGAGATTGTTACCTCCAATTAACCACCAGAAAACCGGAAATGGTGCTGTGGCTCAAAGTGATAGAGTGCTAGCCTTGAGCTAAAAGGCTCAGGGACAGTGCCCGGGCCCAATCCTGACCTTCAAAGACAGACCGCCATTTTGGAAGAGAAGGCAATAATAGATCCCTTAGAGTGCTACAAAACCAAGCCAAAGAAAATATGCATAGACCCTGGCTACTTCTCCCCACCTGCAGTTACCTGAGCAAGGGGCTCACCGTTCCTCACCTGGATTCTAGCCTCCCGCGTGTCCCGGTGCCGGCCTACACCTGCACCGTGGGTCCTACACAGTCACCAGAACAAGCCTTTGACCAGAGAAATCCTGTCATGTTATTCCTGCTGTGCTAGATGTCAGTAGTGTACTGAGTCCTGCTGATCCGATGGACACACCTTTCATACATGGCCCCCCCCCACACACCTGAGCCCTCTCTGGCCTCCTCTCCCACTGCTCTTTACCACAGGCTTCCTTGCTGGGCCACAGGCACATGAGCGAGGCTTCTGCTGACATTGTGGACACGATGATTCTTCCTTGTGGACCTCTGCAGAGTGGACTGGTCTCACCTTCCAAGTCTTTGCTCAAGTGTTACCACCACCTTGTTGAAGTCCACCCTGACTGTCCTACTCACATTAAAAAAAAAAAAAAAGTTGTACCTGGGCAGGCATGTGCTTTCCCACTTGGGCCATGTCTCCAGCCCTTTTTTTGCTTTAGTGATTTTCAGATAGGGTTTCATATTTCTACTTGGGTGGGAATCCTCCTATTTATGTGCAGCTGGGATGTCAGGCATATACCACCATCCAGCTTCTTATTGGTGGTAGGAAGGAGGCTGACCCTGAACTACCGTCATCCTGATCTTTGCCTTCTGAACAGCTAGGATTGCAGACAAGAGCCACTAGTACTCAGCTTATAATTATTTCTTAAATGAGTGAATGAATGAGTAGGAAGAGGAGAGTCATTCAGACTGAGAACTCTGAGGAGAATTGTAAGGAAGAAACCATGGAGCTGGGTTCAGAAGGACGAGTGTGGACAGCCAGCTTCTCTGAGAAAAGACATTTAGAGAGAGTGTCATGAGCTAAGGTAGAAAAATGGCAGAGCTCAAGAGTGAGCCTGGAACTGCAAATAGACCCACCTGACTGGTGCTTGGGACAGTGAGATGGGGAGGGGCTGATTGAGAAATTAATGGGCTTTTAGCAGGGGGGAGGGGAAGGAACGATTCCTAATTACTGTAGCAAGCATGTCGGAATCAGACTCACAAGTAGCATGCATGACATGGGAGAGATGACCATGGCAAGAAGTCAGTAATACAGGGTACTGGCAGGTGCGATTGGACTGTCTGCAGTACTCGACTATAGTTGCACCCGGTCACGTGACTATTAGGATCTGTGCTTCAGAACAACTTGTGAAATGAGTTAGGCAGGGGTTTTTCACATATCTGAATTTGCTTTTCATTTTATTATTGTTCTCTTTTTTATTGTTATCATAAAGATGATGTACAGAGAGGTTGCTGTTTTATAAGTCAGGTAATGAGTACATTTCTTTTGGACAATGTTACCCCTTCCTTTGCTCTCTCCCAATTTCCCCCTCCCATCCCTTTACTATTAGCTTTAAAAAAATTAATAGCATCTTAAGCCAAGTGCTAGTGGCTCTTGCCTGTAATCCTACCTACCCAGGAGGCTGAGATCTACTGAGGACTGAGGCTTGAAGCCAGCCAAGGCAGAAAAGTCCATGAGACTCTCATCTCCAATTAACCACCACAAAAAATGCCAGAAGTGGAGCTGCGGCTTAAGCAGTAGATTGCCAGTCTTGAGCAAAAAAAGCTAAGGGACAGTGTGCCCAGGCCCTGAGTTCAAGCCCCAGTAAGTGGCTCACAGGCACAAAATAATTGATGTTGTGTTGGAGGAAAGGGGTTGGGAGCAGCTGAGTGACTGTGGGCCTCCGTTCCCTCAGGGGGCTTACCTTTGATGGTCACATCCCCTCTGCAGGGCCAGCCGGCTGCTGTAGGGTGGTTGGCCAAGGGGGAGCCTCATTTGAATGTCCCCGCCGTGCTCACCGCCCATGCCGGCACTAAACCTGCTCTCCTTACTTCCCCAGATGTTAGTAGGCAGGACGAGGCCGAGGCGGAGCTCAGCGAAGGTGAAGCCTGGTATGGAAACTCGTCAGAGACGCCGTCAGAAGCCTCCTATGGCGAAGTCCAGGAGAACTATAAGCTGTGCCTGGAGGACCCGATCCAAGAGCAGTCCACGTCCCCAGACACCTCCCTGGGGAGCGCCACCCCCAGGAGCCACACGCTGGAGCTGGTGGCCCTGGACGGGGAGGTCCTGCGAGACTCGCTGCCCTGCCAAGACCACCTGTCCCCCGGAGTGTCTTCTTTGTGTGACGATGAGCCCCCGGGCTCCAACAAACCCCTGAGCAGCAACTTGAGGCGGCTGCTCGAGGCTGGTTCTCTCAAACTGGATGCCACAGTCCCGGCCAATGGCAGAGTGGAGTCGCCCGTGAACGCGGGCTCCAACCTGTCCTTCTCCTCGCCCTCTCATCATGCCCAGCAGCTCAGTGTCCTGGCCAGGAAGCTGGCCGAGAAGCAGGACCAGAACGACCAATACACTCCAAGTAGCCGTTTTCTCTGGAATCAAGGTAAGTGGTTGTCCACGTCAACCACCGCCTGCGGCCTGTCCCCAGACTCGGCCATCCTCAAGCTGAAAGCCGCAGCCAACGCCGTTCTGCAGGACAAGTCGCTCTCCAGGACGGAGGACACCGTGCGATTCGAGTCCTTTTCCTCCCCCTTTAGCTCCCAATCTGCCAGTTCCACCTTGGCAGCGTTATCCAAGAAGGTCAGCGAGAGAAGTTTGACTCCTGGTCAGGAGCATCCTCCTCCGGCCAGCTCTTTCCTTTCGCTGGCTTCGATGACCTCCTCGGCCGCCCTCCTGAAAGAGGTGGCCGCCAGGGCCGCTGGCACCCTCCTGGCCGAGAAGTCCTCCTTGTTGCCTGACGATTCTCTGCCACCACCGCCTTCTGAGAAGAAGCCAGAGAAAGTCAGCCCCCCGCCGCCGCCCCCACCCCCGCCCCCCGCGACGCAGTCCCTGGAATTGCTGTTACTTCCAGTTCCTAAAGGAAGAGTCTCCAAGCCTTCCAATTCAGGTATGCCATCCCTCTGTCCAGTCGTCTTCTTGACTGTCGGCTGCTCTGTCTTAGGTGCCTCCCTTGTCCAGTCGGGTTTCCCTTTGGAGCAGAAAGGAGAATAGGAAAAAGAGAGAGAGAGAGAGAGAAAAGCCAGCACCCACAAACAGAAGCCGGCAGAGTCACGGTCTTTCATGTGTATGTTACACAAAGGCTTCACAAACAGCCTCGTGTTTGAAAAGTAATGAATAATCTTAGCAATCGACAGGACTCCCTCCCTTTCATGCCAATGTTGGTGGGGTTTTTTCTTTTTTTTTTTTCTTTTTCCTTACCAAGTTCAGGCAAGGTCCACACTAGATATATTTAATGGGAGAAGATCAAAGCATCTTTGCTCTGAAGGGCAAGGCGTCACTGAACATAGAGAGAAAAACACACACTGCTTTTTGAAAGGGTGGCCTGGGGGGAAGGGGGGACTGCCTTTGCCACATAGACTTTTGTATAATCAGTAACTACCCTGCCCTAATTTATCACCGCGTATACTTTCATGTTAGCAGTTTTATTACTCTTTCTTTCTTTTTTTTTTAGATTTTAAGCCTTTTCCCCCCCACTGATCTTATTTGACTGTAATTTCTTGTCATAGAAGAACTCTGGGAAAAAAAAAAATGTTGCCAGCCAAACATAATCCGAGCATTTCTTGCAGGTGCTTTATTTTATTTGACTCTAGGTGGGTTGTAAAGGAATGAGTGTGTGGGCAATTTGAACGGTGAGCTTGTTAATATTTTTTAGGGGCGTTGGTCTTTCTGAAGGAGAAAGCCCCGTGTCACACTTTTGATACTCAGAGTTGATCATCTCGGGGCATACTTTAGTGTCTTGAGTTCTCATGTTGGAAGTCTCACTTTGGGTGCAGGTTGTATTTGAAACCATGCACATGAAAAATACATGTTCCTGGGGATGGAGGCAGGAGGAAGATAACCTGTCAGACGGGAACAGGAAGTGGGCTGTGAATCCTCTTAGTGATATAAAACACTGCCGTTGGAAACGCCCTGCCAGCTTTCGATGATCTGTACCAGAGTGCTTGGAATGGCAAATACTTGACCGAATGGTCACAGCCAACCTCACTTTGGTGTATTTATGACAAATTGCCATTCCAGTTGCTGAGTGAGCTGCATTGCCTTATTATCATTACCTTAAAACTTGTATAAATAGCAGAATGGAACTAGGAAAATGGGTACCTGGCACTCTGGTGACTTTCATGTCATGCAAACCATTTGCTGCTGAGTTGGTGAAGTGTCCGTTTCTAAAATCCTGACGTGCTTATCAATTCTGAGTTCCATTTCTCCAACAATTCTCACCTGCCATCCAGTGAAATAGTGAAATGGCTAAAATTAGGAAGTAGAAAGAACAAGGGGATCTGGGTAATTTTGCAATGGAATAAATTAATCCTAACTTACAGACATTTTGTTTAGATTTAAGAGCAAAGAGAGGGATGACTATTCTGTATGTAACGTGTAATTCCATGCATATTGTCTGCTCCTGCTTATTGGATGAATGTATGAATGGTTTGATGCAGTGGGAATTCATCTGGACACCAGTTACTTGAGGAAAAGCTTAAACCAACTTAATAAACTGACTAGGGTCTGGACAGAAGTGACAGATACAACTGTCTCTTGAAGACACATGGCAGTGGTTATGCCATCTTAAAGAGGTCTTGGGTATAACCTGCAAAACGTAATGATTAGATGCAGTAGAATGAGAAAGAGGTCCTGAGCTTCCAGTGCTGCTCAATCTTTTGCTTGTTTTGTTGAAAGATGAGTACTATGGAGAAAGGGAGGAAGAGATGTATTCCTTCCCTCCTTCCATCCTTCCTCCTTTCCTTCCTTCCTTCTTTCCCTCTCTCGCTTTCTCTATCTCTCTCTTTGCTTGAATACACTCCGCCCATGCCAACATCTCCATGGCTTCTCAGCAGAATTTAATGTGAAGAGATCTGTAAGAAATTGTGGGGTTCCCCCCCCCACACACACTTTTTTTCTGAATTTATCTCTTGCTGAAACACTCGATATATTTATTCATCAGTGAAATGCTGGAAGAAGTTCCAGTTGAAATCAGGAACTTGTTAGATTTGGTCTTTCGGACCCCTTGCAGATGGACTTTTCTGGAATGCCACCTCCCCATATTTCACACGCCTCTGCTATCATCCGGGCTTGGTGAAACAGTTCTGTCTTATGTCAGAATTGTGTTCAGTATCATAGAGCCATAGCACTGATTTTTTGCTCTGAGGATTTAAAGGAAATGAGTGTTCTGCAGTCTTCTCTCTCACCTGACTCCCTTGTATATCCTGCTACGTTTCAGGGCTCTCTGGATGGGATTCAGGTGTGACTTGGCTTCCCCCAAAAAACATGCTCGGAATGTGGCTGCCACCCATGTTCTTGTTCAACCTTCCTCATCATTTTATTTTTCTTATTCTTATTGCCTTAGAAAGAAATCTTAATTTGATTCAAAATAGGTAGACTGGATTTTCACAACAGAAGCAAAAAAAGTTCTATTGCCTAATGATTTCAGTAAGTAAATTGTATCCCCTCCCCTCCAGAAGCAGAGATACAAAAATAAATCACTCACCATGTTGTAAAGCAGTGTTTGCATTGAAAGATAGAGAGAGAGAGAGAGAGAGAGAGAGAGAGAGAGCTGTATCTCAGAGTGTTGCCCCAATAAAAGGGCATGTAAAGTTGGTTTTGAAGTTCCGAAGAACTCTGGGCTGGTGAAGTTGGTCTTCTCTTGGGTAATTCAGACACCAGCATTGCTTTGACCTTCTTTAGGTCAAGGGAAATCTATCCTATGAAAAAAAATAGTGTCTTTTAGGTCTGGCCTTCTTCTTCTTTTCTAAGCAGGATTCTGCGGTGGCCAGGTCATGGTGTATTTAATTCCTTAAGAGTCCAGCACTCGATAGCCTTTCCGCCCCGCCAGGGAGACGTGACACCAGAGGAGGAGGCTGCTTTCATGTGACCTGCGCCCCAGCACATGCCACACTGCTCCTCTGAAAGGGGACCCGACAGAGGGAGGATGATGTCTGTTTGCTATAAAGATAAATGTCACACATTGACTCAATTCTCTTTGAAGCTACTGTTCTATGGCAGCTAAGAATAAAATAAATGGTTTTTATTTTCAAGACAAAGTTTCTTGTTAGAAGGCCAGCAAGAGTCTGAGGATGCCAGGCTCCTGGTGAAAAGAAATAACGGAGAGGATTTCAGAGAGAGGGTCTCTCCAAAGCATCTTAAGCTTATGGAATGAAATTTAAATACACTTAGAAACAACCCTGTCTCACACAGCTGAGAGCTAAGACAGTGCCAGGTCAATATATCAAGGTTTTCTGGCTGCTGTTTCCTTTTGTATTGATGGGATGTTATTAAAATTCTTGCAAAAGGCATACCAAGTCCAGAGATGGAGATGACCTCCTGTACTCCCATTAGACCCACGGTTATTATGGCCTTCATCTGAGAAGGGTTGCACGCATTGCATTTGTTTAGCAAAGTCACTTTTCAACCAAGATGTAGAACCATCTGTTGCTGTTCTCACTTGCATTTTTCTGAGTGCTTTCAACTTACCCTGGCTGTCGATACAGCAAGCTTCTCTCTTGGGTTAAAAATATACATGGGGAACATCCAAATCAGTAACGAAAAGATCAGCCCATTGAGACCTAATGGTCTGAAATGGCCTTGAGGGGCAGGTCCAGGAAATTCCATTCGAAACTCCATGGGAAGACTTGGAAAGGCAATGTGTTGTCGTCCTGTAGAGACACAGACAAACAAGTGGAGGTGGAGGTGTGAAGTGGAGATGGTGGTGACGGACAATGCTCAGCCTGTGTCGCCTGGTGTTTTGAATGACATCTATGTGTGTGCGGTAGGATGTGCTGCACATCTACCCACTCGCAAAGCCTCTTGGCTTTCTGCAGATTGCCATGAAGGATCAAGTGAGAGAATTTCATATTTCAAAGCCTATGGGAAAATTCTATTTGTTTCTATTTGTTTGAGCTATTGAAACCTTCCATCGTGTGTGTGTGTGTGTGTGTGTGTGTGTGTGTGTGTTTTAATTAACCCAGTGAAGCTTGGCTTTTGTTGCTTTGCGAATTCATGTGTAGACAAAAATGGTAGGACACTAAAGTGGAAATTAAGAGATGGGCTATAATCCTAGCCCTTGCCACCAATTAACAGGACACCATTAATTGGAGCACGCCCTCACCATTCGTTTTCCTCATCTATTAACTGAGCTGGTTTGGGATTATTGCATGGATTTCCTCCTGTGCTAACAATTCCTTGCATTTACTCACTGCTTATGATTGGACTCTTATTTGTAGAAACATATGGCAAACATCATTTTCCTCCCAGTTCTTCGGTGGCTATAAAGCCTCACAGAACATGGTTTGTGTTGGGCAGGGCTTGTCCATTCCAATAGTTTGACACATATTATCGCGCTTTATTTCAGATGTATTTTTAATATAAGCTGTCCGGGTTCATTTTTGGAGATAGCTGAGGTGTAAGTGCATGCTCATCTAGCTGATTCTCCATCCTTTCATTCAGGGCATGTACTGGAGTGCTGGGTGGGAGGCTTACACAGGGCAGGGGTGGCGGTTGGGGGGGATAGTGTGAGAGGCGTATTCTGGGGGCTGATGCGGGTCCACTGGCAGCCTGCTACATCTTTTCCTTTCATTTCCAGCACTCATTTCACTTTTCTCTTTCCTTGGCCCAGCCCTTTTTTCATTTAATCTCATTCCAGCCCAGCACATACTACTTCCAGATCAGATGCTGAACTTGGTACAGTCTAGGATGCTCCCATCATTTCCATCTCTCTTTTTTCTACACCTAGCTGAGTTTGGGCCACAGGAAGTTCATGGAGGCCAAGCAGGAACCTCTCTGAGAAGCCCCATAGACTCCTGTGCCTTTATTTCCAGTGACCAGCTCCCACGCTGGCTGCCCCTGGAGCACATGGTATGGTAACCCTCATGGCAGTTAATGGAGTTTGCGTCTGCGCTGATGGTGGGCTGTCTGCTGTGGACAGTGTGCCTAGAGTTTATTGTTACTCCTCTTATTACAACTATCACTACCAAGAGCTTCCATTTACTATGTGACAGCCGTTTTATATGCATTCATTACCTCTTATTCCAATAATATTATTGCCTATAAAAAGAACGTGTTTTCTCCAGTGGAGCAAATTAGCAGCTCTCTATCCCACTGAGTCTATTAGCATTTGGTGGAATTAGTTTTGTTTGCTCTGATATCAACCAGCTGGTGATATATTGGGGGAAGGTTGTTTACCAGGCAGTTGTAAACTAGGTAAAATTATGAGCATTTCAGAACCTGTTGCTTCAAGAACGCATGGTTCATTCAGAGGAGGCAGTCATATTTCTCTGGGCTCTAAATTTGAGTGAAATTTACAGCTGTCAGTACCCTGAAAATAGTTCAGCATACAAAATAGAATGCATTCCCCTCCCAGTACAGAACTAACTTTGTACACACATGGGGTGGGTCTTACTAAAATATGTAGTTTCTTTTTCAAATAAATGAGAATGCAGATGGTACCAGGGGAGAGATTACTGGTCCAATTTGAAAATCAGTCATTGCATTCTGGTGACCTTCATCATTTTGTTTCTTTCCTGCTATCAACAATTAAAAAAAATCTAACTAGTTATACAAATATAGCTCTTTGACCACATTTCTTGCAAATAGTTTCTACTCACTGTGAGTATTCTAATATTTCCCAGTCAATCCAGTCTAATTTATATATGACTCGGGTATGTCAATTAAAACTGAGAAAGCATTGCTCTAGAAGGAAATGGATTTGTAGGAAATACTAATAACACTGAGTTTACTGCAGAAACCCCTGAAGTGGTGGTTTAAGGGGGTACTGGGAGGTTTCAAAGAATAGGGTAAGGACACACTGGTCACATTAAGCAAGGCAGGTGTTCATGAAATCTACAATCTGGCAATGCTCATTTTTTCCAGTTAATGCCTTCTTATTGCCTTCCTCTGGTGTGCCATGAACTCACTGGCCAGTAGAAGACTCCTCAGTTTTCCTTTCCTCTCCCAGATAGTTCTGTACAACTGGGCAGCTTGAGGTCTCAATAGTGAGATCTCAATAGTGACAAACGGTTCCCAAAACGAGGGCTCAGTGGCAGCCCATCTGTGTCTCTTTCTTATTACTTTGATGTTCTTACCCTTCAAAGCAGGACTTCATTACCTCTTTTCCCCTCCCTAGTGTATGACAGTAATCTTACCTAGAGGCCTGATTCAGTCCTTACTCTCAGTCTGTTGCTCAACACGAAGGGCTTTGTGACCAAGATGGCAGGGTGGAGGAAACAGCAGTGAAAGACAGAAACTGGGGTGGGAATACGGACAGATCAGTAAAGGCAGTCAACAAAATCAGACAGCATGGAAGCTGTGTGTCTGGGGTTAATAAAAATGATTGAAAGCTGGGAGCAGGTGGTTCATGCCTGTAATCCTGGTGACTCGGGAGGCTGAGATCAGAGGATCATGGCTTGAAGCCAGACAAGGAAGAGACCTGTGGGACTCATATCTCTAATTTACTAGCAAAAAGCCAGAGTTGGAGGTGTGGCTTCGGTTTGGTGTTGGCAGCTTCCAGCAGTGGAAAAATTCAAGTGAGAATTAGAGGCCCCAAGTTCAAGTACACCTGCTACTTCATGCTCTCCCTGTAGCTCACAGTGTCCTTGCAGAAACTCTTCATGCAAATGGAATTTGTTTGCCTTTTTCTAAAGTATTTCAAATACTTCCAATATTCTTCTATCTCTAACAGAGAATGACTTTGACTAAAATAACTGCAATTGTACTACTAATTGGACCGACAATAGTTATCTGAGATTAAGGTATACTAGCCTGGGACTAGGATTTCCTCAAAGATTTCAAAAGTTTCTTTTTTTCTTTTTTTTTTGTCAGTTGTGGGGCTTGAACTCTGGGCCTGGGCACTGTCCTTGAGCTTTTCAGCTCAAAGCTCTACCACTTGAGCCACAGTGCCACTTCCAGTTTTCTAGTGGATTATTGGAGATAAGAGTCATCAGGCTGGTTTTGTACTGTGATCCTCAGATCTCAGCCTCCTAAGTAGCTAGCTCAGCCTTGTGAGCTGCTGGTGCCTGGCCAGAAGTTTCTTTGACCAGGATTTTGTTTTAAAAGGATCCAAATAACCATACCTTACTTTTGTTTTATATTTCTCTTATGTCTTAAGAAGATTCATAATCCCCCCCCCCCCCCCTTTTCTTCTTTGCCAGTCCTGGGCTTGAACTCAGGGCCTGAACACTGTTTCTGAGCTTCTTTTGCTCAAGGCTAACACCCTACTACTTGAGCCACAGCACCATTTCCAGCTTTTTCTGTCTCTGTGATACTGAAGAATCAAACCCAGGGTTTCATGCATGCTAGGCAAGCACTCTACCACTAAGCCACATTCCCAGCCCCTCCTTTCTCTTTTTAAAATGCCATTTGTGTATTGAAGAAATGGAATTTTTGTCCTGAGGAATTTCCATGCTCTAGATTTGGCTGAATTCATGAATCCATTCCCTTGGTGTGTTTAACTTTTTGTTGTTACTTGTGCTTCAGATGAACTGCTAGTTAGTATGAGGATTAAATTTTTCATAAAGATATGACATGGGTGGTATTATCAGAATACACATAATGCCTTTCCGTGTGTGTGTGTGTGTGTGTGTGTGTGTGTGTGTGTGTGTATGTGTGTGTGTGTGTGTGCGTGAGCGTGCGTGTGCATATGCCAATATTGGGGCTTGAAATCAGAGCCTGAGCACTGTCCCTTAGCTTTTTCACTCAAAGCTGGTGCTCTACCCCTTAAGCCATACTTCCACTTCTGACTTTTTGCTGGCTAATTGGAAGTAAGAGTGTCATGGACTTTTCTGCCGATGCTGGCTTCAAACCAGTATGCTCAGATTTCAGCCTCATTAGTAGCTAAGATTGCAGGAGTGAGCTGCTAGCGCCTAGCACGCCTTGCATCTTCGCAGCCATTCATCCATTGTCTTAGGTGCCATCAGCTTGACCCGTCCTTTGTAAACTTCCACATCCACCTTTCACTTAAGAGTTTAGCATCAGCTGATGTCCTTTCTTTTTGTTTGTTTTTATAAAACAGACGTAGCATCACCCTGGACATATGGTTTTATATCTTGTTTATCCTGTAACTCTAATATCTTGGACAGATTCCCGTATCAACATTTGTAGATCTAGCTCATGTTAAATGAGCTGCATTTATTTCATTTTGTCGAATGGGTTTGGAACTATTTCTGATTCTTCGTGATGAAGAAAGGAATGTCTGAGCCTTGGCCAGCTCTTCTCCTCCCCCTGTATCTCCAAGCTGCAGAGGTTCTTGTGTCGCTGACTCATACAGGTTGACAGACCTGAAATGTAGCAATGTAGTGTGATTACAGAAACAGCGCCCTTTGGGATGGTGTGTGAGACCATGATCTTAGCTTTACCTGGAGAAAGCAATCCATGTGTTTGCCTCCCTGAATAATGAAGGCTGCAATGGTGGTCTAGTATGTCTCTTCCCAAAGTAGATGGTGGACACACAGCCCCAGAGCAGAGCTGACAGCACACCTTGTTAATGACAACTCCAGGGACAAACAGAAATGATTAAAACCCTGGTGGTTAAATAGGCAGCAGCACCTGTCTGCACAAGCTTCAGCTAAACAGTAGGAATCCTGAAATGCGTCTCCATCAGAGTTCTGCATATGAGGGAATCCTGAAATGCGTCTCCATCAGAGTTCTGCATATGAGGTGTGTGATGGCTGTTGAGTTTTCTGTGTGGAGCAGTATGTTTTTCCTGTCTTTATTTCTCGCTCCTTTCCAAAAACAGGAATTCAGAGCGACTCAGGCCTGTTGGTTTCTCTCAAGGAAATCATGCCTCTGACTTTAGGCCCCACTGCCTGCAGGCATTGGCTTTGGTGCTATGGGCCAGGCCAAGCCAGGAACACTTCCTCTGAGAGTTGCTCTCCTAAGTGCAAATAAGACTGGCACAGGCAGGCTGATCAGAGTTGGGCACATGGAACCCCAATGAAGTGACTAGAGAACTGTGGGTTTCTACTTGCAGAAAAGCAGTCATAAGACCTCTCCATGATGCAGTCTTGGAATTGCCAAGGAAAGAATCCCAGATCATTTTTACTTAGCTGCATGTGTGTATGAGTGCCTTTGTGTTTGTCTTAATGTTCTTTTTTTTTTCCTCCTCCTTCTTCCAAGCCTCAGAAGAAGAAAGCGGGAAGCCTTTCCAGTGTCCAATATGTGGTTTGGTTATTAAAAGGAAGAGTTACTGGAAGCGGCACATGGTGATTCACACAGGTTTAAAAAGTCATCAGTGCCCGCTCTGCCCATTCCGGTGTGCTCGCAAGGACAATCTCAAATCCCACATGAAGGTAAGCCAGCTGCCATGGGACCCGGGGAAGAGCAGGCGCCCTTGGGGTCCCATGCAGTCACATGCAGGCGGCTTCTCAGCCGAGAGGGGGCGCTGTAGCAGAGTGTGCACTGACTGCTCAGTGTGAAGTTAGAATTTGGCACAAATGAAAGATGTCGAGAAGGATTTCTTTACAAATACTTGTGTCCACTTTTTAACCTAGAACTTAAAGGCAGAGAGGATTGTCAGTATTCAATGGCAAAGATAATGTAGTGTACAGACACCCTTTCTTAAAGAGGAGCAACTGCCTTGGCTGGCCTTGAATGACGATGCATTTCTGGGAGTTTGAAAGAGCAAGAGGAAGGGAAAACCCAATGAATGCAGCAATAGCAGCTGGGCCTCAGTGCCAGAGGCAAGTCTCCTGGTGCTGATCCCTTTCCTGGGCACCTGCCCCCTACTTCAGCTGCTCTCCTCTCCAGAGGAACACCCAGAGTTGCCTGATAGGATACGTGAAAACATTTCTTTGAAAGACACCTGAAATTTCACTTTATTGAAACATATGGAAGGCTCAGAGACTGGTCCTGACTGGACCCAGGATCCTCCTTGAGACTGAGCAATCGTTTTTTCCACAGTACATACTTTTTAATGTCCTATCAAAAACAGTCAGGAGCTGAGCCCTGCAGGGTAGCTGTGGAGATTGAGCTGCAAGGTGACATCTTGGTGGGGCTGCAGTAATATGAAATTGTAGAGCACCTCACTGATGTTCACTTTGTCTCAACTTCAAGGAGGGAATTGATGAGATCAGAAGAACAGGAGCTTTTCAGTTGGACAGACCTGAATTTAAATGTTATTATCCGACTTGAGAGCCAAGTGACCTTCAACAAGTTAACCTTTAGACTCTCAATTGTCTCATCTGCTCAATAGGACCAATATTGTCTGTGTGGAAGGCTATACCCGGTATTACAGAAGCTAGATAACAGTACCAGAATGATGGACACAGGAAGGTTCCATGGCCATTATTTAATTCTAATTAACTCTCATGGAATGTTTTAATAATAATGATAATGCTGTTTCACTAATAACCTTCCAATATTGTTTAGCTGTTGACATTATGTATCAAGGGTCTCCTTCCTTGATATAAGTAGGGTGTATGCACATAATTAAGGTATTTGCTTAGTTTGAAATCTTGCTGTCTAATCTTTTTAGAGAGATCAGTAATCACTGTTCCCAGTTGTAGCTCTAAAAAGTGTGATCAGACAGAGCCTCTACTGAGTTTAGGAAATGGCTTAGAAGATTAAAAATAAAATTAAATCCACGATGTAAGTTGTTTTCTATCACTTGCCTTTTTCTCCTGGGAGCAGAATGCCCTTATTGTTAGAATTCATCTAGTTAGGTTTTGGTTGGTTGAATTTTCCTGAGCCTACGTGGTGATAGCTTACAAAACTCTTATTTGAAATCTGCAAATTAGTAGGATGAGACTTAAAAAGACATGCCTTTAAACTTAAAACTTATTTTAGTGACTGTGTTTAGAAATCAGGTCCGGTGAATTTAAAGCTTCAGCGAGCAGAAAACTTCCATCCAGCCTGACACCTTGTAAGCTTGGTTTCGGCTCAGGGTCACTTAAAACAACCTATTTATAAACCCAAGGGGGGAAAAAAGGCTGGGTTTTCAATAGCAGGAACTGCTGACCCTGAAACTACAGGGAGATGAGTTGCTTCCTTGATGACACCGGCGAATTGCCAGGACACTGTTACAGATGAGAGCTACCAGGGCGCGCTGGGTCCTGGGGTCTTCAAATGCTTTCAGAACAAATCAATAACCAGTACAATAAAGCAGCTGTGTGAAATCAGTACTGTATTCAAACTCACCGTGTCCTAACCTGTTGAGCTGTGACTCGAGCTTTTGATAAGGAAGTGTAAGAAGGGCTCATGCAAGTGTAATTTTAGCCAAGGTGTGCTTTCTTTCCATTCCCTGCTCTTTACTTCCTTTTGTGACCTATAAAAAAATTAAAGAATTCATAATTTTATTAAGAATAATTGAACTTGGCCAAGTTTTATAAATACAGTGTACACAGAAATGTAGTGGCTGTTGTCTTAAACATAAATGACCTCTGCTTCATTCATTCCAAACTATGGATAGTTTCTTGCTCAAGGCTGGCGCTCTATTACTTGAGCCACAGCACCATTTCTGGCTTTTCTGCTGGTTTGTCGGCGATAAGGTCTTTCCAATTTATCTGTCCAATTTATCTGAACTGTGGTTCTCAGATCTCAGCCTTCCAAAGAGCTAGGATTTCAGGTGTAAACCACCCATGTCTAGCTCGAGTTCCCCTCTTTATGATACATCTTCTAGTACTGAGAATTTAGACAAACTGATTTTTAAAAACGTAAAATTAACCACTCGCTCAATCACCTAAGAATCACCATTATTCTTCGGACACACAATCTATATTGATTGTGCAGATTTGTGTAAGAAAACGGAGTCCACTTTATTTGCTCAACAAACATGGGTCTTACTACCTCTCTTGCAGATACTAGGCACTGTAGGTATTTTTTGGTAAGCCTGCCTTTCTTTTATAATGTATTGTGCAAATGTTTTTATGACCAGCCACAGAGGGTTCTAAGTGCGTCCAGCTTCCTCAGGGTTATCTTAGATTTCCATTAAGCTTTTCACAACTTTCCTGGATGAGTGAGCATACAGGAATTACATGAAACTCACAAGCTAGAACTGAACAGAAATGGTGAGTAGGATGGCTAAGATAAAGACCATGGATGATGTCAAGAAACTGGAAGAACACTGGGTGCTGAGTTCTTCTCCTTATATCCACCATTTCTTGAATCAGGGCTCCTCAGCAGGCCCTCACCGACTTGCCTGTCCAGTCCCCCAAAGAGTATAGGGTAGATGCTTCCCAAATTTTCTCCAGGCTCTGAAATACCATGAGCCACGCATCTCAGTGCTGTGAAGAGATGGCCTTGATTAGGTCACGTTGTCTGATGGCGGCTGTTGGTGTTGGTAGTGAGGGACCGGGCATAAGTGAGGCCAGAGAAGAGCATGCTTCAGGCAAGCATTTCTTCTCTTTAGCAGATGAAGAGGAACTTTAAAGCAACCCCTAGGCTAAAGGGACTAAAAATGATCATAGGAAAGTACTCTTCTGTCTGGAGAGAAGGGGAGAAACTGCCACCAGAGGATACCCGGAGGACACAGCCAAATGTGTGGCTCAAAGGCCACATGCGATCTATAGTCCCGCTGGGAAGATGTAGCTCAAATAAAATCCTAAGTACAAGAGAAAACCAAACACTGTTGTTCCTTTCAATTTGCACCCATGTTATAATTAGAAACAACAAGGCCAGGATCTGGTGGAAAAGAAACTACATAAAATTCTCGTACATAAGACTTTTTGGTTCAGGGCTCCTTTTGATTTTGGATCTGGGCTCTTGCTCTGGCCTTTTCCTTCTTCCAGAAGCTTCTGGAGCTTTTTGTCCAGGGATGAGCTTGTCTCTGGGTGTCTGTAGATGTAAAGACACCTCTGAAATGGAATCTGCACTCAGCCCCTTACTCAGGGACATAGATGCTGTCTGACCTGTGCCCTTTTACCACCTAGCTCTGGGGCAAACCTTTGGCAACCCCTCCTCCGCCTCTGTCATGCGCTCTCTGTGACTTGGGACACCCAAGGGGTCAGAAGCTGGTGGCAAGTGAAAGAACCAGTCCCAGTGAAATCTTGGTCAGGAAAGCACAGGAAGGGGGTACTAGAATGGCCAGGGACAGGAGTGTGTACCCATCCCTACCCCCTGCCTGGGGGGAAGGCTTTTCATGGGCAGAACTTCATTAACAACAAAATTGAAATGCTTCTGGCGACTTCTGTACAGGAACTTGGGTTTTGGGGGATCTAGAATTCCTTCTGTTGTTTTTTATAAAAAGCCACAGTGGGGTGCTGTAGCAACAGGATCTCACCATTAACTTTTAATTTCTTTGCTTTTGTTGGTCACTTAACATTATTTAAAAGTATGTTTTGGCTGGTGAAGAATGCTTTTGGATTGCATTCAGGAGACATAAACAGCTGTAGTAAAACTTGCTGTCTTGGGAAAGAAACCCACGCAGAGGGCCAGGTGGTATTATGGATGGACAAAATGAGCCTTTTCTAACATCCCGAGGACCTGGGTTCAAATCCCATTTGGGTCACCTCTGAACAATGCAGGGTCAGTTTGGTTTGGAATTCCATCGCTTAGGTTCTGCTCTGTCCAGATCACACAACTCTCCAAATCATTTGGCCCAAATCTACCCAACTGGCAGTTTCTCTTCTGGGGAGGGCCAGCCCTGAAATAGCAGGGAGTAGCAGGGTCAGCTCCGAAGCACATTGGCAGAGATGAATTGGGGAAGCTATACGCTTAGGAGCACCTGCCAGTTTGAAGCTTGGCTCAGGCTTAGTGCAATGATTTCCTCACTTTCTCAAGCACTAAATTTGGTAGTGACAGGAAGGGGGAGGAAAAAAAGAAGTTTCTTGCCATTTTTACAGGTATCGTGGGCAGGCGGGACTAGAGCTGGATTTCAAAGTCTGCAGTCCTCAGTGCAGACATCAGAATCTGCAGCCTGAGGTAGACGCATTTGGAAAACTTGCTTTACCTTGACCGTGGGTTTTTCTCCTGTTCTGTTCTCTTCCTGTGGAACTGCAAGCCATTTTTTTAAGGGGGAAGGTTGGTGTGAGGGGGGAGGGGGTGGGAGGTGTCAGGAGAGGAGAGAAAGGATCTCCATTTCCCTATCTAGGAAATGGGAATTCCCTGGAGACCTTAACTTCTACATTCTTAATTAATCTAAGAGCAGCACTTGGAAAATTGAAATTATGGTGTGCACAACATAACGAATTCTCTAGGTGGCTATAATTGGGTCTATGCAAAGCATTATTGTGAGAAGAATAACTTGACAGGTCTCCTCTTTGACCTCTAAGGAGTGATTATGCCAGCTCACCCGGCGAAGGGGTGGACCGAGAGTGGAGCACTGCAGTACGGGGTCCTCAGTGCAAGCCTGAGTCTTTAAGACTCTTAGCTTGCAGGGTTGACCTCATTAGCTATGTGCTCTTGGGGATCCTTTGTCCCGTGGAGAAATGATGATGATGATGATGATGATGATGATGATGTTTTTGTTTTGTGCTGGGACTGGGCTTGAACTGAGGGCCATGGTGCGGTGCCTTAGCTCGTTCTGCCCCAGATTGGCACTCATCACTTGGAGCCATACTTGTACTTGGATCCCTTTGGGTGGTTCGTTGGAGATAAGGGTCTCATGGATTTCTCCTGCCCAACTGGCTTCGAACCGTGTTCGTCCAGCCCTTGGCCTACTGCGTAACCGTGGAGGGTGGCAGAAAGACGGCCTGCGGGTGGGGAAGCCCCAGCCTGGCCCGGCCTACCTCTGCCCCAGCCCTGCCCCGGCCCGGCCTGCCCTTGCCCCTGCCCGGCCTGCCCCAGCCCGGCCTACCTCTGCCCCGGCCCGGCCTACTCTGCCCCTGCCCCAGGCTACCTCTGTCCCTGCCCGGCCTGCCCCTGCCCCAGCCTGGCCTGCCCCGGTCTGGCCTGCCCCGGTCCGGCCTGCCCCGGCCCGGCCTACCTCTGTCCCTGCCCAGCCTGCCCCTGCCCCTGCCCGGCCTGCCCCTGCCCCTGCCCGGCCTGCCCCTGCCCCAGCCCTGGCCCCTGCCCGGCCTGCTCCTGCCCCTGCCCGGCCTGCCCCTGCCCCTGCACCGCCTGCCCCTGCCCGACCTGACCCTGCCCCTGCCCGGCCTGCCCCTGCCCCTGCCCGGCCTGCCCCTGCCCCTGCCTGGCCTGCCCCTGCCCGGCCTGCCCCTTCCCGGCCTGCCCCTGCCCCTGCCCGGCCTGCCCCTGCCCCTGCCCGGCCTGCCCCGGCCCGGCCTGCCCCTGCCCCTGCCCCTGCCCGGCCTGCCCCTGCCCCTGCCCGGCCTGCCCCTGCCCGGCCTGCCCCTGCCCCTGCCCCTACCCCGGCCTGCCCCTGCCCCTGCCCCGGCCTGCCCCTGCCCCTGCCCGGCCTGCCCCTGCCCCTGCCCGGCCTGCCCCTGCCCGGCCTGCCCCTGCCCCGGCCCGGCCTGCCCCTGCCCGGCCTGCCCCTGCCCGGCCTGCCCCTGCCCGGCCTGCCCCTGCCCGGCCTGCCCCTGCCCCTGCCCGGCCTGCCCCTGCCCCTGCCCGGCCTGCCCCTGCCCGGCCTGCCCGGCCTGCCCCTGCCCGGCCTGCCCCTGCCCGGCCTGCCCCTGCCCGGCCTGCCCCTGCCCCTGCCCGGCCTGCCCCTGCCCGGCCTGCCCGGCCTGCCCCTGCCCGGCCTGCCCCTGCCCGGCCTGCCCCTGCCCGGCCTGCCCCTGCCCGGCCTGCCCCTGCCCCTGCCCGGCCTGCCCCTGCCCGGCCCGACTCCCCCCGCGGGCAGCTCACCCTCCGTGTCCCCGGCAGGTTCACCAGCACCAGGACCGCGGCGAGACCTTCCAGTGCCAGCTGTGCCCGTTCACCTCCTCCCGCCACTTCAGCCTGAAGCTGCACATGCGCTGCCACCAGCACTTCCTGCGCACGGAAGCCAAGGTGAAGGAGGAGGCCCCAGACCCCGAAGTCAGTGACAGAGGCTGCGCGGGGCGGCCCGGGGAAGGCGCGGGGCCCGAGCTAGTGGGGGCCGCCGCCGCGCCCAGCCCCGCAGAGAGGACTCCCCCCGGCGGGGCCGGCCCCCCGCCCTCGCTGGTGAAGGAGGAGCCCAAGGAAGAGAACGGCCTGCCCGCCTCCTTCCCCGCGAGCGCCGACGACAGGCCCGCCAGCCTCTTAAAGCCGACAGACCCCTCCGAGTTCGCGGCCGGCCCCGCCGCCGCCCTGTTCAGCCAGGACATCTCTGTTAAGATGGCGTCCGATTTTCTCATGAAGCTGTCAGGTACTTGACCAGGGTGGGATGCCCCGCCCCGCCCTCCCGCCCGCCCTCCCGCCCGCCCAGCCTCCGGTGTCAGGCCTCCCGCACGGCTGCGCGTCCGCGAAGCTCCGCCTTCCTTCCTCCTTCCTCCCTCCTTCCTCCCTCCTTCTTCCCTCCTTCCTCCCTCCTTCCTCCCTCCTTCCTCCTCCCTTCCTCCTTCCTTCCTCCTTCCTTCCTTCCTCCTTCCTCCTTCCTTCCTCCCTCCTTCCTCCTCCCTTCCTCCTTCCTTCCTCCTTCCTTCCTCCCTCCTTCCTCCTCCCTTCCTCCTTCCTTCCTTCCTCCCTCCTTCCTCCTCCCTTCCTCCTTTTTCCTTACTCCTCCCTTCCTCCTTCCTCCTCCCTCCCTTCCTCCTTCCTTCCTCGTTCCTCCTTCCTTCCTCCTCCCTTCCTCCATCCTTCCTTCCTTCCTAACTCCCTCCCTCTCCTTCCTTCCTTCCTTCCTTCCTTCCTTCCTTCCTTCCTTCCTTCCTTCCTTCCTTCCTTCCTTCCTTATTTCCTGCTTCCCTCCCCCTCTCTTTCCTCACCTTCTCCTTTTCTCCCTCCCGCCCTCCCTCTCCTTCCTGCCTTCCTGCCTATTTCCTTCCATTTTTTCTTTGCCCAGCCTCTGGAGTTAGACACTGCTTCCACGTGGATCTTGGAATCACAGGGAATGTTGACTTCCTGCCGTTGTCACGCCTCTCAGGGGTTCTTGTTGTTGGGCAGGGTGAAGATCACTAGGTGAGCCAGGTTCACACCCGTGGCTTTGTGTGTGACCTTGGGCTCTGTTTAGCTTGATTTCTTTCATCCTGGTTTCTATAAAAGCCATCCATGTACATATATGTATGTGGATATATATACATATATATGGAATTCCTCATTTTTTTCATCGTTTCATGTTCTTTTACTGTTTCAATTTGAGAGATTTCCAAAAACACAGTTGACAAACAGGAATTATAGACATGTATAATTAGAACAAATGGTAAAGGTTGCTGTCATTGATTCTTTCTTCAGGGTTTTTTTTTTTATAATGGTAAAGTGTATGTAACATAAACTTTACTGTTTGAATCATTTTTAGGTGTGTGATTCAGCAGCATTAATACAAATTGTATTGCTCTGTAACTGCCCTCCTCCATCCATCTCTAGAACTTTCCATCATCCAAAAGGGCACTCATTAGATAATTATGCCCCATTCTCTCCCTTCAGTGTAACCACCATTAATTTCCACCTCTTGAAGTTGACCACTCTAGATAATTCATATAAAATGGAATTAAAACATTCTTTTCCAAACTGCCCTAATGCCCTTAGAAAAGAAGATGATGTATAAATGGCAAAAAGTATATTCTTTTTAATTGACATTGCTTTCTATTGCTATCAAATTATACATGATGTTTCTTTTGGGGTGTTTTTTTTTTTTGGTCAATTTTTTCCAGTGTCTTTGATTTAAGTAATAATGTTAAAAAGGAGTAGAGAAATGTTAGATGTTTTTTTGTCTGACTCTCTTGGGGTAATAAGACACATTGTGGGACTGTGCTGTTACTCATTATGTTTTGAAAAGTACGATTTTAAATTTTAAAGGGGTTGTAGAGGGTGGGGAAAGGTCGGTTGAGAATTGGTTCTGTCTGCCAGTGTAGGTGGCAGTTCCCAGGATAATTTCCAAATGCCATTTCAGCTCTCTGGAGATTGACAATACCCTTTAAATGGAGAATAATTGGTCACCGCCTTCCTTTAAATGGACTGTGAGTTGCATTTCACTAAATGTCATTGCCAGGTGAATGAGAGGCCCAGCTTCCCTCTGAAGTCCCTTTGCTAGATGACACCTCATCGGGCCTTCTGGAATGTCCCCCTCACCCTAGATCTTTGCTCTTCTGCAGTGGATGAGTTGGGACAGAATGAAGAGAAATAGGTGGGAGACGAGGCATTCCCCCAGTGAACTGAGGAGGAAGAGAGCAAGGGCGGCCATGGGCACTCATGCCAGCCTGTGGCGGGAGTGAGGGCGCCCCTACAGATGACCAGTTATGGAAATTCATCACATCTGACCTCAGCTCAGCATGAAGAGATGGCGCGTCCCTGAGGCCTCTTCCCTCTTCCATCCCAGTGGCAGGGAAAATGGTATTTTACACACTGGGAATTTTATATTTAAAAAAAAAAAACCTATGGGGAAAATGCATGTTTCCAGTTTTCCATTGGCTGCCCTGATCCTTCCGGATATCATCTTCAGAGACACTCTAGTTCCTCCTCAGTGGCCTCTCCTATGACAGCAGCTATGACAGCAGAAGCTTAGGCCATGTGGTCCAGTCAAAGAATCATATGTGACATTCTTTGAGCATAATTTAGAATGGTGGATGTTTTCTGCTTCAGATGAGCATGGCCAGTGCAGACATTCTAACTCCAAGGTGATCATTTAAAATCTGGGTGCCACAAAGAAGGAGGTGGGTAGATTTAATCTTCGGATGAAATGCTGGTGTGTGATACACAGCTCTTGCTGGGCTGGGGTCTGAGCACCCCATCATCAGACTGTAATTAATTCCAGCCCATCTCAGGGAGCAGAAGATCAGGCTTTGAATGAGCACTACAAATAGCAGAAACAAGAGGGAGAAGAATGATGAGGAAGGAAGGAGCTTATAGGTTGGGGTAAGGCTCCGTGCGCCAAAGCTTTATATTGTGACCTGTTTCCTCAGTTAGCTATTGATGAGGAGTTGTTTATGGTTTAGCAGACCAACTATTTACTGACTGATCAGTTGGCATAAGGAAACAGATAACAAATGCACACTCTTTATGCAAAAGGCCCATGCAGCTATTTTATGGTGGCTTACCAGAGGTCTTGAAACCTGACTTGTATGCACTGTTACCTAGCAACCTGTTATAAAGTCACGGGGGAGTGCGATGCATTGGTAATTTTTTTTGTGTGTGCATATTTGGATGTAAATGTAAACTTGGTGACTGTGGTGATGCAACCCACAGGAGGAGAAGATAAGTTAAAAGGAGAATACATTTTCTGCAAGGATTTTTCTTTCTTTTTTTAATTCTGTGAACTGTGTGGTTGGTCCAGCCCTAGAATTGACAGCTTGCATTTTGCTGTGTGCTCTACCTGACTCTCTCTGTGGACATAATGCAAGAATAGAAAGGCCAAAACCCAGGGAGCTGTGGCTGAGTTTCTGGCTCTTCCTGTCCTCGGATGGAGTGAACGAGTAGTTAGCCTCAGGCTCTATCCCTTGGTGTCATAACAGCGCCATTGTTCTTGCAGGGAGTTTTTCCCAGGGCTCTGTCCATGCACCTGCTGGAACAGTAGGGAGCAGCTGTTTGAGGGCACCGAGTCTGGGAGTCTCTGTGCCAGCCGGATCACTGTCTGCAAAGCTGCAGCACAGTGACAAATTCAAGCGTGCAGACACCTACTTGTTTCTAAGAGAGAGGGCGAAAACACTTGATGCTTTCTTGCCCAGTTATTAAGGGAAGTCATTCTTGCTCCTTCCATTAACCCTGAGAAAGATGCTTGAATGGAACCCAACGAGATTTGGAATCACTGTGTAAAGGGTTGTTTTAAATGCCCTTTATGTTCTCCTCTTATCATCCCCATTGGGGGATTTCTCACTATGAGTCTAAATTAAAAAGCAAAACAAAACACCTTTCCAAAGCATCAGCTACTTTTCCAAGTCCATACTTCACATTCCTGAGTCCTGTGAGAGGAACATTACTCCCCAGAACGCGCACAGCCAGGCTCAGCGTCATGGAGGATTTGGGGCAGGATATAGATCAGCGCTTACTGCTGTCTCTCGGGCTTGCTAGGAAAGAGAATATTCTAGACTTTGCTCAGGCTTTTGATCTGGAAGGCAGGCCTTTCCAAGAGCTGGAGCCCTATTGTGTTCTTAGTTCTTTTCTGGAAGCCAGAAGATCTTCGCAAACCATTGTGTGGCAGGGAAGCCCAGGGTCACGTGACTCGGAGTTTGCTGAGGAAGGGTGCTTCCCCAATGATGGGAACACCAGATTTGGCCGCTCCTGGCCTGTCTCCCCTGCTAACAGCAATTCTTAATGTCCTCTGCTGCACGCCGGGCTCGTCTGGGGAGCGTTTGCAAAATGTCAGGGCCTAGAAATAATGATTTAATTAATTGGTCTGGGATAAGCCCCAGACAATGATATTTTCTTTACAATCTTCAGATGGTTCTAACATACAGTCAGGACTAAGGACCTCTGATGTGGAGTAGAAACTTGGTACTGGGAACTGTCTTTTTCCAATGGAATTGAAGGTTTTCTGAGTATGATTCTCCCTGTGTTCCATGCCACACCACCAAAAACAGGGGTGAGAATGGCTGTGAAGCATTACATTGTAGATCAGAGTTGGCATGGGGAGCAAAACACCATGGTATTTTGCTCATGATACCTCATGACAAGAGATATTTGTCCAGTTCAGCGTGTGTGTGTGTGTGTGTGTGTGTGTGTGTGTGTGTGTGTGTGCTGAATTTAAGTGCTGTCCCTGAGCTTTTTTGGTCAAGGCCAGCTCTTTACCACTTGAGCTACAGCTCCATTTCTGGCCTTTTTAAAGTAGCTTGTAGGAGATAAGAGTCTTATGGACTTTCCTACCTGGGCTGTCTTTGAATCAGGCTCCTCAGATCTCAGTGTCCGGAATACCTAGGATCACAGGCATGGACCACTGGTGCCTGACCAGTTCAAAATCTTTAGACCCAATGGATGAGCATCAAGGAACTGGGAGCATCAGCATTCAAAGCTTGATTATGAGTTGCCCGCGATGGCCTTGCATCATTCCTCTTTCTGCAGACTCTGCCTTTTAAGACATAACATTTAATTCTAGCTCTCCAAATTATAACCAAACAGTTGACAGAAACTTGGCACTTCACTTGTTGGCAGGGAATATCTTTTTTGTCCCTGGTTTTTCAAAATAAAAGATATAAGTTACTTCAACTCTTTTAAATTTGGAAACTGGAAAAAAAAAACAACCTTGTACTGTCTCCCACATCATATTAATTTCATAAA